CTCTGTGCCTCTTTTTTTTCTGTAGCGGCCCGTGTTATTTAATTCCTTCTCCCTGGCCTTCCGCAGAGGGAAAGCCCCGGCTATGGAGAAGTACCAGGCTCTCGGTCTCGTGGGGGAAGGCAGCTACGGGGTGGTGACCAAATGCCGAAACAAAGACCCCGTGTTATTTAATTCCTTCTCCCTGGCCTTCCGCAGAGGGAAAGCCCTGGCTATGGAGAAGTACCAGGCTCTCGGTCTCGTGGGGGAAGGCAGCTACGGGGTGGTGACCAAATGCCGAAACAAAGACAGCGGGCAGATTGTCGCGGTCAAGAAGTTCCTGGAAAGCGAGGATGATGCAACGGTGAAAAAGATGGCCCTGCGGGAGATCAAACTGCTGAAGGTAAGCGAGACTGCGGGGTTGCGCGGCCCTCTTGGTGAATGAAGGCAGCTGCATCCTGCATGCTGCTCATGGGCAGCTTCAGCCATGCTCAGGGCACCTCTGATGTGCTTGTTTTGTACTGCACCTCACACATTACACTGGTAATGTGTTTAAGTGTCTCTTGAAGGCAAATAAAGCCGTAAAGCAGAATATTAAATTTATGTTCGTGATCTGCCTTGTGATAAACCTGTGTCTTGTTCAAAGATGGTGGGTTTGGATCCATTCTACCTGTGGAAGGTGGCTTTGGTTTGGGAGTTTGGGTAGAAATTGCTTGCTGTGGCTGCCTTCAGAATCTCCTAGGAAGTGGTGTTTGCCCAGAGAAGTGCTAGGATAGGGTAATTCTTTCAGGCATGGAGTCAGTTGAGAAAGCCTCTCTGGAAGGAGAACGCAGTCAGATCTACTTGTCAACAGCTTAAATGATATAAATGAGAAAGAAAAAGGAGAAAAAACAAAGCAGACTTGATCAGGTGCTGTTTGTATTTCCACAAGCAGCCATGCCATGGTAGATTTGTTTGGCCTTTGAGCCACATTCCAGCGGAGCTGCATTTCCCTTTGGCTAAGTGTTATTCTGGCTGCACCTGGCTGGCCCTGGCTTGATAGGAAATGTAACTGTGTGTGGCCAACATAAGCAGGGAAAAGCCAAAGGAAGTGAGCTCCAAGGGATCCGTTCCCCCTTGGTGATAGCTGAGGTGTCCCTCCGTGTTAAGTACCCAGGGGTACTGCAAACAGGTTCCTGGAGGTAGAAGAGACAAACGCTGAGCTTCTCATGTCTGTGGGTGAATGGCAACCTGGATGTTGACTGAGGCTCTTAGCCAGGCAAGATGCTAGCCTCAGCTGCTGTGGAAATGTGTTTCTAGGAAAGGTTTATTTATGTATTTATTTATGTGACCCCTTTCTGTCAGTCTTGTCCTGCCTTCAAGAGGCTGGAGAAAAGGAGGTATCAAATTCCTCAATTTTCTCAGTCACTGGTTAGTTCCAAGACTGGAACCCACTGGCCTTATGTCCCTTCCTGATGGAGCGTGTGGCTTGTGTGGTATCTGTTGTGAATGCTTTTCATAGTCACCCAGATGTGCAGTGGTGCTTCAGCCTGTGGGGGCTCCTTCTCAGCAGCATCTTGTGGTGGGAAGCTCTGTAGTCTTATTGTGGGGCTTGGCTTATTAAACATCATTTTCTTCCTTGGCTGTAGCCCATCTGTCTGGGAAGATGCCAAAGAGTTTTAGCTAAAAAGGGTTAATTTTTGCTGTGCTGCTCTGTATTTTGTCATATCTTCTTTCTCCTGCTTCCCCTTTTCGCTTTGCTTTTTATATGGTTTATGTAGTTCCTGTGCTGTGAAGGGGAAAAAAAAAAAGTGACCTTTGCCATCCCCTATAAGTTGTGGGCACTAAGGTTTGAGTAAACATGTACCTGCTGGGGCTTAAGATGCAGCCAGCTGAGAAAAGTGTCATTGCCTTGAACTGAGTTAAAACAAGTCTACAGAGTGTGGACTGTAGCTGGCCTATTGGCAAGCCTGGTTTAGTTACGGAGTCAAAGCACGTAGCACCTGCAAGGTATGTTGGAAATTAACTTGTGTTCCTAGGTAAATGGGATCTAGACAAGGGGAATGTTTCCAAATATTCTTGCCAGCTCTCGGCATGACAGCTCCTGTTTGCTCCTGCTGAGGCTGGCAGCTTCCTGCTGCACCTCCAGTGCTGGGGACAGCAATGTCAAGAAGTGTCCACATTGAAAAGCTAGTGATTTTAAGTATAAATGAATGGGCTGCTGTGTCAAGTAGAGCAGTCCAGAGAAATGCAACAGCTGTGCTGCAGCTGAAAGTGTTTGGTTATAGTATCTCATCTCTTAGTTTATCCTGATAAATCCTGTCATGCTGTCACAAACTGTTTCCTGTTTACAACAGCAACTCAGACATGAGAATCTCGTGAACCTGCTGGAAGTGTATAAAAAGAAGAAACGGTGGTATCTGGTGTTTGAATTTGTGGATCACACAGTGCTTGATGACCTCGAGGCATTTCCAAATGGACTGGACTACAGCAGAGTTCGGAAATACTTATTTCAGATCATAAGAGGAATAGCGTTCTGTCACAGTCACAATGTAAGTGCTCATGAGGATTTCAATCTGCACCTATGAAAACCCTGAGTGAGTAGACGCAGAGATGTGTATCAGGGCTGTTTATTAACAAAATATGGCAAAAGCAAGCTTTCCTTGGCAAAAGCAAGGTTTGTCTGAAGGGGAATGAAGTAGGGCAGAAGGCCTGGTATAAAATGGCAGTGTGAGCTCAGCCGATCCACGAGTTTTCCCTGAGTGATCTGTGAGCGTGCTCCCGAGGGAGGCTGCAGAAGTCCACGTATATCAGAAGTTGCTGTCACCTCACTAGAGGCTTCCCTTTATCTTGCAATGAGAGATTTCCTCTCTTCCAAAATTTCACTTGTCACAAGGTCTATGTAAGCATCTACATGCTTGCTCTTTCTCTTCCGCATTAAGCTTCTTGTTATTCACTGCTTATTTCTAACACAAGTTTGTCAATTTAATCATAACTGTATATATGTATTTCTCTTTTTTATACTTGGGGAAACTGGCCCTGTGCTATGAATTCTCTAACTAGTCTTCATGTTTAACTGCAGGATGTGCCCATGGCCTTGACAGATCTCAGCACGACTCTTGCGCCTGACATACACAGTTACAAATAACATATATATCTTTGTCTAATACTTGTATTTGCATATGCATAGAATTTGCATATTATATATTATTTATATATAATACCTATGCATCTTTTAAACTGGTGGTAAAAGCCATTCAAGCATAATAAACTGTATCTGTAAAATACGTATGATGAATGTACACACAGCAAATATGCAGAGAGGTACCCAAAGTAACCACTTGTGTGTGCAAAAACTGGAGGTTTTGTATTCACATGTGCTCTTGAGTCTGCACTTGTTCACTGTCCGTGTGTACATCGCTGTATTTTACAGACTCCATGTATTTTTCATGCCTGCAAAAGTGTAATTTCTCATGCATGTGAAAAAGCTACTATTTTTGGTGAGCAATTGGTTTGCTCTG